TACAAGGAGAACTTGATATGATTAAGGAAGTCACAAAAAGTTTCTCTAAGGAAAGTAGGGTTTCAGTTTGTTTTTTATATATTTTTTAAAATAATTTTGAGGATTACAGACAGAGCCTTTCACATTCTAGGCAAGCACTCTACTGCTGAGTCATATCCTTAACAAAAAGCTGGGACAGGGACAAGACTTTTAGGTCATGAAACAGCATATTTAAAATTCCCTTCGCTAGAAAAAGCAAAAGGCAGTATCTAGTTCAAAGCGAGAAGTATGGCAGGAGGGAAGGCTGAAGAAGGAACTGGAATCCTGACTCCATAGGCCTTACTGGTCTTGTTTAAGGTTTTAGACCTCATCTCAAAAAGCACTGGCATGAGACAACCAAACATTTGGCACCTCATATAATATGAAGGAGCAAGAAATACCAGCATTACTTGTGAGTATCCTTGCTAAAACAGTTGAACCTAAACTTAAGTCACATCGCTGGAGCTAACTTTCATTTATGGAAAATATGGGAAATAGAAACAAAATAATAACATAAGGAAGTAATAAGACAAATCCAGAACTGGGAACACTCCCAGTAATAACCAAGCCAGTTCACGTAGCCAATGGCAAAAGAAAAAAAAAAACACACAGAAGACTCTAGAACAGTGTTTAGATCTAGGCACTTTAAAATAACTAATAAAATTTGAAAATAGTACTAGTGACATTAAGATTTATTGTTATAAAGGTTTCAAAAACTATGCTGTGTCTTCTTTTCAATGAGGTTGTAATCTTCAAGCAGAAACAAGTATTTAGTGTACATTATCAATGCCAACATGAATCTTAGTATTTCAAACTTAAGCAGATGCCTAAGTGGCTCACACCTATAATTCTAACTACTTAGAAAAAAGGCAGAAGGTCAAGAAGCACTGTGAAATAATTTGTACCTTTTCAGTATTACTGATTTTTTTTTTTTGGTTGGTTGTAGGGCTTGAATTCAGGGCCTGGGCACTGTCCCTGAGCCTCTTTGTGTTCAAGGCTAGCACTCTACCACTTGAACCACAGCACTACTTCAGGTTTTTGAATGGTTAATTGGAGAGAAGAGTTTCACAAGAGTTCTGCCCACAGGGACTTTTCTGGGTTGGAACTGTGGTCCTCAGATCTCAGCCTCCTGAGTAGCTAGGCTTCCAGGCATGAGCAACCAGCACCCACTGTATTATTGAATTTTAAGAGTTGAAATAACAGAGAAATCATCTAAAAATGAATTTCTCTTAAGCAAATGAATAAGGACACAAAACTCAATAGTGGCAGAGATGGCCAGCAAGGCAGGCTTGTGTTCTATATATGGCAGCCAGCTCACAACTCAATTCTTTCTCCTTTCCTACTTGACCTTAACACTATTTCTCTTCTTTTCAGCTCTTTTTTTTTTTTTTTATCTCTAGGCATTTAGTTTACATTCACTTGACAATTTTCACTTTCCTGCCAACAGAATAATGATGAGCAAAAGAAAAACATGTTTAAAAAAACAAGGCAAGGGTTGGGAATGTGGCTTAGTGGTGGAGTGCTTGCCTAGCATGCATGAAGCCCTGGATTCGATTCCTCAGCACCGGAAGTGGTGCTATGGCTGAAATGGTAGAGTGCTAGCCTTGAGCAAAGAGAGGCTCAAGGACAGAGCCCAGGCCCTGAGTTCAAGCTCCAGGTCTGGCAAAAAAGAGGCAAAATTAATAGAACAACAGCTGCTGTTTCAACCTTTCTCTAGATTTAGATGCCCACATTTATATAGCCACATGTTTTCCCTACATTTGTGAATAACTCCTTAATAGTTTTCTTTCTCCTTTTCTTGTTGGTCATGGGACTTGAACTCTAGGCCTGGGCGCTGTCCCTCAGCTTTTCAGCTCAAGGCTAGCTCTCTACCCCTTGAGCCACAGCACCACTTCCAGTTTTCTGATGGTTAATTGAGATAAGAGTCTCACATCCCTTATTTGCAATATCTAGTATATCTATGAGTCAAGCAGAAAAGGTCAGATAATGTGATGTCAGGAAAATGAACCCTTAGATATGTATTTTAATGTTTTTTTTCTTTCATGCATGTGTTTCTAATGCATTTATAAGATTATCTCTTTGTTGCTTTGTATGTCCCTCCCCCACAGTATAACCACTGCTTTCACTATATTTGATGTCAGTATAACTTGAGGAGGAGATGGGGAAAAACCAGTTGTTTAAGGATACAGGTGGACCTGTTGCAACAATGAGAAGTACAAGTTGTCATGTCCAAAATGAGCTTTACAACGTCGGTGGGTGGGGGGGAGGGGGAAGGAGAAGGATTGGGATTGGGGGGGGGAGGGAGGCTGGGAAGCGATGTGAAGGGTAAACAAAGGAGGAGGCTGCAATGCTTGGTAAGAAATGTACGCATTATCCTGCCCATGCAATTGTAACCCCTCTGTACAGTATGTTCACAAATAAAATAAAAATAAATTAAAAAAAAAAGAGTCTCACAGACTTTCCTGCCCAGACTGGCTTTAAACTGCGATCCTCAGATCTTAGCCTCCTGAGTAGCTAGGATGACAGGTGTGAGCCACTGGCTCCTGGCTTCCCATAATAGTTTTCTATCAATCATGCAAGCCTGAAAGAAAAAAAAGGCTTTAAACCATTCACACACAGAGAACCAATGCTGCTGAAATTCTTTCTCCTTTTAAATTTTGTCCTTCTCTGTTCTTTCAAAAAAGCAGCTAATGTAAAAGGCCAGAAATAAACAAATCTTGTTCATTATTTAGGCATATTAGTCATACATTGCTTTTGAAATGGTACATGTATATTTTTAGTTTAAAATGTTTTAGAAAATTGAATAATTATCCAGTATAGTCTCTAGCACTACATGAAGAAATGAAGTTGATAATATGTTCCAGGCAACCAGAGTATGAATTGAGGCAGCTTGCTTCATAAAGGCAATAAATTATATCTATGTACCAAAGACTTCAAAAAAGTACAATTGTGGAGCTGGGAAGGTGGCTCAGTGGTAGAGTGCTTGCCTGGCATGAATGAGGCCCTGGGTTTCATTCCTCAGCACCACATAAGCAGAAAAAGCCAGAAGTGGTGCTTTGGCTCAAGTGGTAGAGCGCTAGCCTTGAACTGAAGAGCTGAGGGACAGCGCCAGCACTACGACTGGCAAAAAAAAAATGTACAATTGTATCATACAAATGGGCAGAAATGTGGGATTTAGTAAAAAGACGAATATGTGTTTCTGTATTCTACTACAAAAAGTAGTAGCTATCTTCTATTAAATTCCTCCGCTATGTTATACACTTACATTACACATACGAATCATCAGTAATCCTCAGAACAAACTGAGGGCAGGTATTACAAAAGTGAGATGATACACAAATCTTAATGTAAGATTGACTCCAAGTGGGCGCCGGTGGCTCATGCCTGTAATCCTAGCTACTCAGGAGGCTGAGATCTGAGGATCACGGTTCAAAGCCAGCCTGGGCAGGAGAGACCATGAGACTCCTATCTCCAATAAACCACCAGAAAACCGGAAGTGGCGCTGTGGCTCAAGTGGTAGAGCGCTCGCCTTGAGCTGAAGAGCACAGGGATAGAGCTCAATTCCAGAGTTCAAGCCCCATGACCTACAAAAAAAAGATTGACTCCAAGTTTATATTCTTCCACTCTAAAATAATAAATAGACATTCATTCATTAGGAGAAAATGTATGTTCTTTGCCCTAAATCTCTAAATCTAGCTAATAGCAGCTCATATTTTCATGTCTGTGGTTAAAGCTGACATTCAGCTGGTATGTGGTGATGTGGTGTAAGACCTAAAAGCTGCTTGAATTATCTGGATACTTACTCTGCTTGATTGGTGTCCAAACTGATTGTTAAATATTTTGACTATCATATCAGTCCATGGCATAACACCCTTGAGTTTGCAAATACTTATTCAAACCACTTTTGTATTGTTGGGGAAAATGTTTTGTTTGTTTTGAGACAGGGTCTTCCTATACAGCATGGCTGGCCTCCACTGTGCGCTCCTCCTGCCTGAACTGCTGAGATTATAGGAGCCCAGCACAAACCACTTTCCATTATACATTTTTTATGTCAACATGTATCCCAGGTCTACTTCTATGCAAAAGATTTGCTGGTCTTTAATAAGAACAAGCCAAGATTCCCAACTTTAGTGGGAGCCTAATCTTTGCTACATCTTTAAATCATCACTATAAAGTTACTATACTTTAGGTAATCCCAATCTTGAAATAACATCTTGTTTTTCTTGTCAAAGAGGTCATCCTATAAGCAGAATACTACCCATACCTTCTTCAGTTCCACCTATCAAGTGAAATGGCCGGGAAGAAACATATCTGGACATTAGCTTATGTCCTTAGAATACCCGTGCAAATTTTACTTGGATTTTTTTTCTTTTTGATTCAATGTAGGCTTGAACTCAGGGACTGGGCACTATCCCTAAGCTCTTTTGCTCAAGGCTAGTGCTCTACCACTTTGAGCCACAGAACCACTTCTGGTTTTCTAATGGTTGATTGGAGATAAGAGTCTCACGGGCTTTCTTACCCAGGCTAGCTTTGAACCTGATTTCAGTCTCCTGAGTAGCTAGGATTACAGGTATGACCCTCCAGTACCCACTAATCTTGGATTTTTTTTTGGAGGGGGGTCATGGGGCTTGAACTCTGGGCCTGAGAGCTGTCCCTTAACTCTTTAGCTCAAGGCTATCACTCTACCACTTGAGCCACAGCACCACTTCCAGCTTTTCCTGTTTATTGAGCCATAGCACTACTTCTGGCCTGTTCTGTTTAAGTGGTGCTGAGGAATCAAACCCAGGGCCTCATGCATGTGAGGTGAGCTACCTACCACTGAGCTACCTTCTCAGACCGATCTTGGATTTTTATCAGGATTCAATATTTTTAAATGTTCATATGGAGAAAAGGAAGCAATGATTTACATGTTTAGAGAACCAATCTCAATGTCATAACAACAAAGGAAGTATGATTTACTTTCTAGAGCTTCATCTCCAGATTTATGTTTATTATACCAAAACCAGTTTCCCCAATCAACATTTGTAAAATGTCATACAAGCTCCCTCAACTGGTTAAAATGTAGAACTACCAAAAGACATGTTCCATTAGGTTGACTGTACCCTCTTCAGAAACGTCTGAAACTCCAGCCTGAGATCGAAGAATGCACATGATGTCATTAGATAATTCTTCAAAGCCATTCTGTAAACATAAATCTGCCACTTCTTGCCACTGTTCTATAGAGCAAAATGCATCATTTAGCACAAGGTTTTCTACTGTATCTGAGAAGAAAAAAATACAGTATGCCACTCATTAGTAATCCAGACATGGTTATTATTTAAAAAAAATTAATTTCAACTCATTCTCAAACTTACCTGAGTACCATATATTTTTTGTGTAATATGTAGAGTATTTGTCCAGATCATAAGTGTTTGGTGTTTGCTTGTTTTTGACAGTACTGGGATTTGTATTCAGGGTCTTAAGCTCACTAGGAAGGTGCCCTATCACTTGAGCCAGACCTTCAGCCCAGTATTATTAAGCATTAGTGTTCTTAAGTATTAGTTTCCTCTTCATTAACCTTTCATTTCTCAATTCAGCCTTCTACCTTTTTTTACTTTCTGCACTTCACTCCTTACCACCATTTTGGTAAGGGTAGATGTTGAGAGCTACAAGACAGCAGCTCAGAAAGTGAAGAATGTGGGCTCCTCCTTATTCAGAATCTACACGGCACTACTAAAACTTCCAATACCTCATATTGCTTTCATGATTCTTCAAACTGCTAATTCCCTAAGTAATGTTGTCCAAAGAGTTTCAGACACTCTTTGGCAAACCCCCCTGCCTTTCTCTAAATGGAGATCTCTTAATCATGTGACTTCTATCACAAATATTTTTCTAAAGGAAATTAAAGGATTCCTTTTTTTAAGGAAATCTCATGATTTATTTACTTTTCAAAGTGGGGAAGGGTAGTGGTCCATGCCTATAATCCTAACTACTCAGGAGGCTGATATCTGAGAATCATGGTTCAAAACCAGCCTGAGTAGAAAAGTCCATGAAATTCTATTTTGAAATAGCTAGAAAAAAACTGGACTGGAGGCATTGTTCAAATGGTAGAGAACCATATATGAGTGAAAAAGCCAAGAAAAAGCACCAGGACCCTGAGTTCAAGCCTTCATACCCACATATAAAGAAAACAACAACCACAACAAAAAATCAGTTATGGTAATTATCAGGCTGAGGATGTGGTACAATGGTAGAGTGCTTGCCCAGAAGGTATGAGGCCCTCAGTTTGATTTCTAGAATTGTTAAAAAAAATAGTGTCAATTATAGAAACTCTCTTTAAGATCTACCAATTTATGCAACTAATTTCTTCTCCAGTCCCTGTATTGTATTAGTTATAAAACTTCATTTAAGATTTCTCTGTAGAGGCTGGGAATGTGACTTAGTGGTCAAGTGCTTGCCTAGCATGCATGAAGCACTGGGTTTGATTCCTCAGTACCACATATACAGATAAAGTGGGAAGTGGCACTATGGCTCAAGTGGTAGAGCGCTAGCCTTGAGCAAAAGAAGCTTAGGGACAGTGCACAGGCCCTGAATTCAAGCCCCAGGACTGGCAAAAAAAAATTCTCTTTAGAATTCAGTACTTTCATCGTTATTATTTTCTTTTGACTACTATTATGTCTTTATATATTTCAGTTTACATCTAGATAATAATTTCAAAATATAAACATGTCTTCCCAAATATGTTTAGTTACCTTTCTTTCTTTTCTTCTTCTCCTTTTTTTTTTTTATTATGCTAGTCCTGGGGCTTGAGCTCAGGGACTGGGCTCTGTCCCTGACATTCTTTTGTTCAAAGCTAGTGCTCTAGGGGCTGGGAAAGTGGCTCAGTGGTAAAGCGCTTGCCTTGCATGCATGAGGCCTTGGGTTCGATTCCTCAGTACCACATAAGCAAAAAGAAAAAAGCCGGAAGTGGCGCTGTGGCTCAAGTGGTAGAGCGCTAGCCTTGAGCTGAAGAGCTGAGGGAC